GGGGGGGGGTATCACGGCGGACTGAGGAACCGAGCGATACGGCGCCCCCCTGGGGACGGGGCTGGGATTGGTTAGCTGCCAGGCAGAACAGCGCCTCCCAAGAGCCACGCTGCGGCCTCACGGGGATGGTCAGGAGAGAGATGACCAGTGCCTCCAACATGCTCTTGTAAGAGAGAGGAGGACTTGAGGGGCGTGTCCAGGGGAGGGGTCAGGGCCAACAGGGGGCGTGGCCAGTGACAGCAAGGGCGTGTCTGGAGGAGGGGCCAGGCCCAACAGGGGGTGTGGTCATAAGAGAGGCCAGGGGCAGATTGGCCCCTCCTGTGGGCATGACCTGTGACCGTGAGGGCATGGCCAAAGGAGGGGCCAGCATTTCTGTACCTCCTCTTTCTCCTCAGCAGAGGAAAGAGGCTGCAGCCATGGAAGAAGCTATTGGTGGGGGGAGTTCATATGCATCACAGGAGTGGGGAAAAAAAAAAAAGATCTGAATACTGAGCGGGGGGGGGGATAAAATGCAAAATCTTGGCTTGAAAAAGAGGCTTCCATCTCCCACACTGCACTGGCAGACAGGTGATAAATCTGCCATCTGCTATCTGTACGTCGAGCTCATTAACAGTTAAACAATACATCTGTCTCGCCCTAATGGAAAGACGCTAGGAGAAATTTGTAGAATTACCTGGTGGGGGGAGAGAGAGAGAAAGAATTGGCACTTTACAAATTAACACGTCTTTAACAGGTTTCTTCACGTACTGAGAAACGTGTTTCAGCCCTGGAAAAGGCTCACCATGCGAGAGGAGAGGGGCGAGGGGCGAGGGGCGGGCTTACGGATCGGACCCGGCGGGGTCACGAGGGCCTTCCAGCAGTCCAGGGGCGCAGGGGAGCCGGAGCCTATCCCAGCAAGCAACGGGCGCAAGGCAGGGTCCACCCCGCGCGGGACGCCAGTCCATCACAGGGCACACGCTCGCACCGGGGCCAGTTTTCCCCAGAAGCCCCGTGAAGGCCCAAAACGTTTAAAAGGAAAGTGTTTTCGGCTTCATTCTGTATTCCCACAGCTACCCCCCCACCCTCCAATACCTCCACTGGCGTCTTAATACCATAAAAACAAAACTCCAGGAAACCAAGAGGAAAGGGCTGGGAGTGTGTGTCCTGAAAGCATGGCTGGGTCTCACCGAGACCGCGCCGGGGCGAAGACGACTGGACGCTGCCCCCTCTGTGGCAAACAGAGGGACGAAAACCACAATCTCCTCTCTGCAGCAGGAGCGAGGGAGGGAGGGAGAGAGATACGTGGTGTGGAAAGTGTTCAGAGGAAGAAAAAAAAAAGCAGCTCGAGAGAAAGGGAGGAGAAAAAAAACAGGGAAGAGGCGGGAGAGAGCTCGAGAGAGAGAGACACACACGGAGGAAAGAGAGAAGGAGGAGAGAGCACGCCGAACAGGAAAGAGGCAGGAGAGAGTGACGCTCAGAAAGACACTCGATTCCTCCTGCTGCCTTGCCGACAGGTGCCGAGGGAGCAGTACCGGCCCGGCCCCTTGTCTCAGGCAGACCAGAGGAACACCGAAGCGGCCAGACTCACAAAAACACAGTAAAAACAGCACAGGGGGGGAGTGAAGGCTGCTGGGAGCAGCCGAGAACCCATTGTTGAGCAGATTCCGCAGAAGTAAAGAACGAGGCGATAAAGATATGTTAATCCCTTCCCCTTGAAGGCACAAAGTCAACAGTATTTAAAACCAGATTGCAGAGGAAGACCAAGTTTAGGAGACTGTCCCCTCCCCCCCGCCCCCACCATTAACCGGAGACCCTACACACAGCGCGTGCACCCACTAAGAGTTTCTGATGCAAGAGGAAATAGCATAACACCTAGCACAAAACCGAGCACACACAAACACCCCCAACTTGAGATGTATGAGCCGGAGCGGCTTCAGTGAAGTTTTAACCCGCTTCTCGCCACTGTAAACAGACTCTAGTTGTGCCCTTTATCGTGGGGAAAATGGGGGTCCCCCCCCCCACCCCACAAAAAGGCAGAGGACCCCTCTCACTTCAATCCCTCTTCTGGCAACATGGAGGCTGCTGCTCCCCTCCTTTGCGGAAAACTAGCGGTCCTGCTGGCGCTGCAATTTCCTGCCAGGGACAGAGTTAATCTGGTGCTAAAAATCCCTGTAATCTGATCCGTTTTATATTCAATTCTGTTTTTTTTTGCCTTAATCCTGACGTTTTGTATTTGTTTCCTGGCCAAGGAAGATGACAGACGGAGGAACCAGGAACGTCTCTCTAATCCAGCGGGCTCCTTCTGCGCCCCACGTCTGCCCAGCTGTCAGCTCTACCGGCGAACGACTCATTCCGCTTAATTGGTCGTTATTTAATTAACCACGTCTCCCCCGAGACGAAGCAGCTTGCCAGACGAGGAGGATCCAGCACAGACGAGCGAATGGAGCTCATGGAACGCGGGTGGACGGAACGGCTCGACTCGACGACGCGCGTCGCCGCCCACGAGGAAGCCTGCGACAGAGAGAACTCCGGCCGGGCCACGGCCAGACAAAGGCACGGGGTTCTGGCCACAGGGAGATCGCGCAAACACCCGGCACAAAACGGAGCAGGCTCAAACACGGAGACCGGCAGAGGAAGAGGGGCGCCGACTGGAGACCAGGACCTGCGCCCGCCCCACCGCTTCCCGAAGGACTCTGGGGCACCGGCGCCAACCCCACACTCGTGGGCAGCTTGTTCCGGGCCCTGCCCTGCCCACTCTGTGTGTAGAGTGTCACAAAGTGTCCTGCTGCTGGGTGGGGGCTGCGAAGCGGCGCTCTGGACTGCCTTTGCTCTCTGGAGCCCGGCCG